TGAGAATCGATTTTATTTTTCTATTTTGTAATTTATTTATCTTTTTGGATATGGTATGAATACTAAATGCGAATTAAGCTAATTTTTAAACTGTGGTCTAGGTATGTTTAAAAAGAAACATTTGAGTGGTTCTGAAAAACGAAAACGCAAGGAGAAACAAAATGAATCTACCTCAAAATTAACTAAAATCAATGCAATTTTTAAAAATTCGACCTTGTGTGAGTACTTTCTAAATTATTTAAATTTTACTGAACAAGTATTAGTTATTTATAACATAACTCATAAGCACCTACCAAGTACTAATATATATTTCAAATTATAATTTATATAATGTGTTTATACATACTACTTAGATACTAAGTATATAGATTATAGACTATAGTATTATAATATAATATATGTAGACTATATAACATTATTCTACCTACAATGTTTAATATTACAGTAAAATCTATTAGTACCTACAACATAGAAAAACAATAGTTAAAACATTTAAAATTGTTAAATGATGCACAATAGGTATTTACCATTCAATTTTAAGGTATCACTGTGACTCTAAGTTAATACATATAAGATTAAAAATTTTATTTGTGAATTCAAACATAATTTCATTCAATTTATACAATATACTATATACATATGTAAATATAATATGGCTATAATTTTAAATACTTATTTAAAGTTTATAGTTATTTAAATATTCAAATTTCCATTTCTCCAGCATTTTGCTTTGGTGTAATTGTTCAATATTATTGTTGTTTATAGCTATTGAGGAAAAGAGTAATGAATTTGTAGAAAATATTGGCATTAACATTATTGATAAGCATGAAAATGTTTCTGAAAATGAAAACTGCAGTGATACTTTGAGTGTTTTAACAGATCCTGATAAAGGTAACTAGTTTACACATTTAAATACACATTATTTTGATTTTATATGGTGGCCCAGTGCTGTGTCAAAATGTATAATGGCCCAATATAATTATTTAATTCAGTTATTGATGAAGACCATACAATAAATAACACATTATTGGAAGATATCAGCGTTGACAGTGTTTTTCAAGTTCAACATAGAATTGTTTATGAAAATGAAAACCTAAGTGATATAACAGATTGTAATAAAGGTAACTTATCTACTACGGTTTATGATATTATAATGTGTATAGTGTATGTAAAAATTTTTTAGAAGCGAGTAAAGACCAAATAAATTCTAAAAATTTTCTAAATTTTAATGAAAAATATCCAACAGATCGAGGTTTATTTGAAGAAAATATTAATGACATCTTAAAAAGAAGTATACTGAATTTTGGACCTTGTAAGCCAACAACAAATTTTCCATCAAATATTCACGGAAGACAGTTTTCTACACAATATTATCAAGTTACTATGAAATCTGGGTTAAAAATTCCTAGACGTTGGTTGTGTTACTCAATTGTTCTTGATAAAGCTTATTGTGAAATATGCTGGCTCTTCGCTAATAGGACTTATGGAAATTTCAAATCTGAATGGATTAATGGCATTAATGACTGGCAGCACTTGTCTCAATGTATACAAAGACACGAAACTAGTATTCAACATTTTGATGCACTTAAAGTTCATAATTTGTGGGTCAAAAATCAAACAGTAGATGCAAATTTAGAAAGACAGTATTTAGAAGAAGCTACCAAGTGGAGAAATGTTCTTAAACGTTTAATACAAATTATTCTTACAATAACTTCAGGAAATACTGCTTTAAGGGGAAATGAGGGAAGTTTAAAAATTCAAAATCCAACTGAAGGGAATTTTTTGAGGATTGTAAAATTACTTGCTCAATTTGATCCTATTTTAAACAATTTATTAAGTAATGAAGAACAGAAGATAAAGTATTTAAGTTGGGCTATACAAAATGAATTGATTGACATTTTAGCGACAGATTTGAGGCGTACAATTTGCAATGATATTAAATCAAGTTGTTTTTTTTCAGTTATATTAGATTCCACCAAGGATATAATAAAAAAAGATCAAGTGAGTCTCGTTATTCGGTACACTAAGGTTGATTTTGAACAAAAGATTGTGGAAGTAAAAGAATCCTTTTTGGGATTTTTTGTGTTAAAAAAACATGGTGCAGCTGATTACTCCAATCTTTTATTAGAATTATTATCCAAATATGAATTAAACATATCCAAATGCCGTGGTCAAGGATATGACGGTGCCGCAGTAATGAGTGGTTCATTTAGTGGACTCCAAAAGAGAATTTGTGAAATAGTGCCCAATGCAACTTTTATGCACTGCTGTTCTCATAATATTAACTTAATAATATGTGATGCCGCTAAGAGTTCCAGGAAAGTTCAATCATTTTTTGAAATTGTACAAGATATTTTCAATTTTTTTAGTTCAAGTGGTCCCCGGTGGACCGATTTAGCTTTCGGCGAAGAAGAARGAACTGTTATTAGAAAAGTTGTATTAAAAAAATTATGCGCAACTCGGTGGGAAGCCCGTCATAATGCATTATATTCTTTGAGAATGCGGTTTGTAGATATTTTAAAAGCTCTCACAAAATTACAGTTGACAAGTACAAAAAAAAAATGAAAGAGATATGGCCTTAGCTCTTAAGAAAAAGTTAGAATCACCAGAATTTATTTTGATATTGTGTGTTTGGGAAAATATTTTAAAGTCTATGCAATTTGTATCCAAAAAACTGCAGTCTGTTGACTTGCATTTGCAACAGGCCTTGGATCAATTAAATACGGCCATCTCAGATATCAAATTGATGCGTGAAAACTATGATACAATTGTTGACAAAGCAAAAAAAATGTGTGATTCATGGAGTATACCATTTACATTCCATCAAAGCCGTGAACGGTATAGTAAATTATTTCCCGGTGAAATTRATGGTGATAGACGACTAACAATTACCCAGGATAATTTTAAAGTAACTGTTTTTTATYCTGTTATTGATACTATATTATCACAGCTAAAATTTAGATTTACTGGATTGAACACTGTATGTGATTATTTCAGATTTTTAATACCGTTTAGTATGATTTCAATGACAAAAGAACTTTTAATTAAGTCAACTTATGATTTTATTGAAAAGTACCGTGACGATATTAGTAGTGACTTCACGCGTCAAATAGTCAGTCTTCAAGATTTTTTTCTTTCAAAGGATAATACCACTAATACCAGTGACATTAAAAAKATGACAATAAAAGATCTATCATTATTTATAATAAAAGAAAATCTATCAACTATTTTYCCTGATGTATTTACGGCTACAATGATATTCATAACTATGCCAGTCACTTCTGCTTCTGCTGAAAGGTCTTTTTCAAAACTAAAACTCATAAAGAACTACCTACGTAGTACCATTTCACAAGATAGATTATCAAGCTTGGCTTTACTTAATATTGAAAGGCTGCAAACTTCTGAAATAGATGTAGACAATATAATAAATATTTTTACAAACACAAAAGCCAGAAAAATGAATTTTTTACATTAAAACTTTAAATATTTTGTTTAAAAAAAAATTGTGTATTTTTAAATTTTGGGTTTATTAAAACCTTATAATAAAAAGTCATGCATCACGATAACCTAGTATTAGGTATACTTCATATCATATTATCATGTAACCATGAATTGTAATCGTGCACAGAACAATTCAAATAACAGCTGATAAAAATGTTAAATTTTTAACCCATAAAGTTCCTTTCTCTGATTTTTACCTAATCGCGAATCAGCCTAATCAGACATCACTGTATTGTTCCATGCCCGTAGGTATTTGTAGCGGGGACAAGCTGCGGAATACACGCAAGTATGCGTTATGTACTCATATTGTGACAAGTGACAGTAATGGTCCAATTACTAAGGTATAAAACGATATTATGAAAAGGGAGTTTACCAATTGCGCTTAAAATTACCTTTTCATATACCAATTGCGCTCTAAACATTTAAGGGTCGATAGACCAATTGCGCTCTAAAAAT